TTCGCAAGGAGTGAGCGCAAGCAGTTGGAAATAGTGGACCAAGTAGAACAGAGCGATCTAGATGTAATGGGGATCCAAGAGACGTGGGAATTGCAAGTTGGGGAGGACGTGGTAAGCAAACAAGGGAAAAACCGGTGGGTATGGAAGGCAAGAAAAGACTTAGACGCGAAGAAAACGGGGGAGGGGGGAGTCGGATTCCTGGTCAAGGAACACTTGTTTGACGTGGTGGAAGTAGTGGTGAAAACGGAGTTCGAGGAAAGCCTATGGCTTAAGGTACCTGGGGAGCGGGGTGAGCAAGATTTGTTTCTAGGGAACGTATACGTCCCACCGTAGTCGAACAAGTCGCAAGCAAGGCGCAGAGAACTTTGGACAAATTGGGGAAGATGCCCAAAGAGGTTCAGTAGGAAGGGAGAAGTTGTCATGGTGGGCGATTTCAACTCCAGAGTAGGGAAAGCTTCCAGTAGAGGACAGGCGATCGGGCAGCACGGAGAAGACAAGTGAATGACAACGGAGGGAGGATGCTTGAATTCTTGGCAAGCAACGAACTGATGGTGTTGAACGGTAGGAGGGAATGCGATAAGCCGGAGTTCACAAGGCAACGGGCAGTTTGCAATGAATACTCAATCCTCGACTACATCCTGGTAGACAGGGGGAGCACGCAGATCCCAGAGCTGCACATAAGTGCGATAGATATAGGTTCGACCGACCACTTCCTCATATGGGCAAACATCGACCGATCCAGAAAGATCAAGAGTAAGAAACAGAGGAAAGTGTTCCGGTGGAAAGTAGAGCGTTTGGGAGATGAGGGGACAAGGGATGAATTTCAGAAGGGACTGGCTGGTAGTGTAGAACCCTTCAGAAAACTGCTGAGAAGCGTCGAAGACGAGGGAACGTAGAGAAGTCTTCAAGCAGTACCTGAGTGAGCCGTCCGAGCAGAGTTGGGAAAAGTACAGGGCCAAAAGAAAAGAGGTGAAGGGACTAGTGAAAAAGAAGAAAAGTGCATTTGGGACGAAGTAGTGCAGATGGCCAACGGAGGCCTGGAGGGGAACGACAAGCAGATGTGGGAAGGGACTAGTGGAATGGTAAAAAAGACCGCGCAAGGGGGGGATACAGGGGTCGCAACTTTGCGAGGTGTGAACGGTGGATTAGTCAGCAGTGGGAAGGGAAAAAGGGAAGTTCTAGCAGGACACTACAAGAGACTTGGAGTGCCCTCGGAGAATGAAGCTTTTGACCAAGCGTTTAAGAAGGAGGTGGACGCATGGGCCCAAAAAGAAGAAGAGACATCGAAGGCAGACGTTGGGAACGTAGAACTAGAAAAGGAGTTCACTGAGGACGAGGTTGAGGCGTGTGTGAACAAGCCTATAGTGCCACAAGTAGCAGGAGTGCATGGGATAGTCAACGAGTTCATGAAGTTTGGGGGGAAGGGGATGATCCAGCTGATGGT